TTTATGATGGAAATCAGAATATAAGCGCAAACTGAAATACGACGTTCGTACGATAAAAACGATTTCGGTATGAAAGCCGATTCGTAAACCACTTTAACTTGAGATGAAGCGAGATGCAGTTAAGGCAAAGATACAAAGGCAGTTTGCAGTTTATGATGGAAGTCAGAACTTAAGCGCAAACTGAAATATGATGTTCGTACGAAAAAAGCGATTTACGTCTAAACATTGATTCGGAAAGCACTGAACTTTGAAACACGTTCGTTAAAAGCACAGAAGGCAGTAAGCTATTGAGGAGGTTTGCAGTAAAGATAAGATGCTCAAAGTAAATGCAAACCGAGATTTAGAGTGGTTCGGTCAATCTTGACCTACTCCACTTTTGGCTTCCTCCACCGACGAGGTCACTGACGTCAACTAGAGGCCTTCCTTCAATAGGCGAAGGCCAACCACCCTTTTACAATTTCACTCCTTTTGACGAGCTTAGGAGACAACCCTTACAGAAATTTTCTCTCCTCTCTTAAAGCTCAAAACTTGGAAGAAAAGAGGGAGAAGAACTTTTGGCCTTTATAACAATTTTGAACTCTCAAAATCACAGAACAAGATCAGAATTTCAGTGTTTGTCTGTGCTCTTTCAGTGCTGAATGGGTGGGGTATTTATAGGCCCCAACCCGGTTTGAATTTGGAGCTCAAAACTGTCAATTCCCGGAATTCCGGGATCAGGCGGTTGCACCTCCTGACTAGGGCGGTTGCACCGCCTAGCAGAGCTCGAAGACTGAGCCTCTGGGCGGTGCTACCTCATGTCAAGGGCGGTTGCACCTCTGCCAGAGCTCGAAGACTGAGCTCAGGCGGTTGCACCGCTCAGCCAGAGCTCGGAGACCGAGCCCAGGCGGTGCAACCTCTATCAGGGGCGGTTGCACCGCCCAGTCTCGCTCGGAGACTGAGCCCAGGTGGTGCCACCTCCTGGCTGGGGCGGTTGCACCGCCCAGTCTTGCTCGGAGACTTAGCCCAGGCGGTGCCACCTCCTGGCTTAGGCGGTTGCACCTCCCAGCAGAAATCAGGGTCCGAATGGGTTGATCCATTTGGCCCAATTTGGGTTTTTTAGGGGCCCAATTGCCCCAAGATTAAGTTAATGGGATCACCTCCCATTTCCAACTTAATCAATGTGCTAACTACGATATTTCCTAAGACATTTACCGCAACTTGCTCCGATGCGTCAATCGCTTCTTCCAGCGAGCTTTCGGCGAACTTCCGTCAATCATCCGATAAACCCTTGGTGATGCTCCTGCGGACTTCCGGCAAACTCCTGAACTTGCGACGATCCACTTGGCGAGTTCCGACGAGCTTCTTTGGCAAGCTCATGGACTTCTCGGATTTGTTCCCGCATAACCTCCGACGATTGTCCGAACTTCCGTCGAACTCTCGAACTCACAACGTGATCGTTGTCTTGATTCCAGCGCAACTTCTGCTGCATGTCTTACTTCCATCGTAGTTAATCCTGCACTTGTAAAACAAAACTTCGATCGAGACAATTAATCCTAAGCAATTAACCAAGTTGTCCGGCATGTCATTGGTCCCTCGACGCTTCATCCGATTCTTCGGCGCATCGTCCTCTCCTGCAGCCTATTGCCCAATCGGTCAGTTGACTCCGCAACTCCGATATCCTTGGCATAATACTCGCTCTTCTTGGCCCAATGCCCGAGTCCACGGCCTGAAGCGTTCTATCGATACGTCGACCGATACGTCGACCAATCCACTGGTCCGACGTCCAATCTTTTGACATGTTCCTCCGGCACAACATGATTTTCCTGCTTTAATTGTCTCATCCTGATCGAAGCATCCTGCGTCACTCAAAACGCAGATTAAATCATAAACATATATCAAGTGGTTTTATCATCAAAATACGAGATTCAACGATGAGGTAGTTACCACTAGATCTTATAAATAGAATCAAAGTTTACGAAGCTTAAGGTAGTGGAAAGTGTCTTATAAATATTCTTAGTCTTCTCTTTTGTTTAATACTTTTTTAATTTTTTTTTATTACATCATAGTATTTTATTTTTACATTTTTTACGAGTTCCTTGCTCCTCCATCCCAACATTAAATTCAAATTCAAATTCAAATGGCTCCTTAATCCGGCACGAAGCCTACGACTTTGGCAGCCACGTGAACCGCTTCACATCCAAAACTCGGCTACTGGTCACAGAGTGCAACAACCGGTGGCGGGTCATGAATGCACAAGAACAAGCTACAAATCCAAGGCAACAACTCCTAAATCTAAAGCTCTAATTTCAGGCTAGCATGATAGCCACAGTTAGAGAGGTCTGAGTGATTCAAGACCTTATCAGTATAGATAGTAATGGAGAACCCTGATCCAACTAAAAGCTACAGATAGAACAACTGGATTTGTTCTACATGGTCAACAAAAAATTGATCAAGCTCAACTGGATTCTCTGACTTTAGTGGTCTCATGGCTTCTGCACTCTTCCTCTGCACCATCTTCTCCTCCGTTCCTTTTACCGAGTTCCAAGTACATCTCCTCGATCATTGGCTTCCACAAGCGAACCCTTGCATTTATGAACCAGTTGGAGACCTGATAACAGCGAAAAAGAATAACAAATAATATATTGGAGAGTGAGACACTAAGACTCGAGATTCAGTTCATCCTAAATGATGCATAGGTAGCTCTTCCATTACCTGGCTCCTCGTCAATCCACTTCTTAGTGCAAGTAAATTTTTCTCTCCGTCACTGGGGTACCTGATAATTTCCATAGCATGGTCCAAGAATGTCAATATTATATACATCATCGATGATTCCTCGTAGAAAATAATTCCAACTTTTAAGAGGTTAATGAGAACACAAGTCTACAACTCACGGGTGAGTGAAGTTTTGGAACATCCATGCCCGCAAGACCGAGACAGATTTTTCAGGCAATCCTCTTTTAGGTCTCCAATCATTCCTTCTTACCTGCTGTAGAGCCCAGTGTCTCTGGAGAAAAGAAGACTCGATGGCTCTCACTCGTCCTTCCTTGCGCTCGCTTTGTTGATTCACCAAAAGGATGCTGCGAGTGATTCTTTCCCTCAGGTTCTTATAGAGCATGCTGATTGTGTGAAGGGCAAAGCCAGAAGAGAATTGAGGAACAGCAGATTTGGTTGCATCATCATATAGAGATATCACACCGTTTACTTCTTCTAAGCACTGCTTATACTTGAGGTCAACCTAATCAACAAGAAAAAGGGCAATGCTGATATTACAAACAAGAAAAATATAAGAAACTCTTGGATGAATGACAGCAAAGACAATATGTGGCCAAATTAGACGTGTGTCTTCTTACCGAAAGGCATTATCAAATTGAATGAGCAACAAGTAAGGTGAAGAAATAATTGATCCATGGCATAATACTGGCCCATGGCTGTTTCACTCTCATCTTTTGAACTAATTTCATGATTTCTTTCTTGCCTTTCTTTCATGGATCCATCACTTTCATAATTTTTGAGGTAGTCGGGGAGAATCTTTATAGACCGCAGACCAGAAACCAGTTAAAATATCTGATTTGGAGTGACAGCTTAAGGAACTAGGAAACTGATGCCGAGGTTGAATGCTCACCATTATAAATCTCTTCGTGCATGTTTTTCGCACATTAATGTGTAATAGGTTTTGCACACTCTGCTATCCAACATTGTACATGTTCTTTTGTTGGGACATCTACAAAAGGTTTTTTTTCTTACAGTGATGTAATCTCATTAAATGTATCTACTCATCGAGCCTTTAGCTTTCTTTATCATGACCAATGTTCTGTTGGAGCCATAAACTGTTTTTGTGATGCAAATGTCATTTATTACAGTGTAGAAGGTTTCCCTTGAAGGAATCATAGATTAAGAGATGAGAGATCGACAAAAAAGTACAATACTTGAATAAATTATATGAGATCATGAGTATTTATGGAGACAGATGAGTTGTGAAAAGTAACTGTATCTTTTCTCATGTGATTGTATACCTTCTGTACATGCTAGTGAATTTAGTGGATTCTCAATTGAACAAAATGGGGATCAAATATCTACACATGCACATGCACATGCACGCTTGTGCATACACATATATACACAAATGTATATACTTACAGCAAAAGTCTTGTAAGGTCAATCTACAAAGTTAACTTTTCTTGCACATGAACTTATTGGTAGTTTGAAAGTCAATGACCCAATTCTTGATGTGATCCAACACCCTCTGAAGAAGTGCAAATCAAATTTCGGAAGTCATAAAATTTCAAGTTTGTTTCCTTTGCTCATCCATTTAAAGTAGAGCAAAAAAGATGGACGATGATGAGAGATAAAATGAAGCACAACACGAACTACTTTGACTGCAAATCTATTTAAACAGTATGTAGCATAATACTAATGAAAAGTCAACGTACCAATTGAAGCATAGTCAGCAGCTGAGACTTCTCCCTGGTAGTTTCAAGGGCTTGCAATTTTTCCACATGGTCCTGGGAATCAATGTCTCCAAATGAAGACTGGAAATCCATGGATCTTGTAATGACAAATTCTCTTTCACTGGAGCAACTAGAGGAGAAAGAAATCCCACTCAGTGAGTCATCTAACTGGATATAGCTCGAAACCTCAGAGAGTATTTGTTGAGTCACACTAAAATATCTTGATGTCAGTATCCCATACAGATTAACAGGACCACTGCATGTAGAGAACTCCTGAATGCCAGGGCAGTGTTGATCATTTCCTAGCTCAGTTCCAGTTCGCAACTGCACATCATGCAAAGAATTGACGACAAGAGAGTATTCTCCTAACTCATCAGAACAGTATCTACTGTTCTTTGGTGGCACCTGATCTATTCCAGAGCAATTAATTTCTGAGAACTGGTCAGAGATATCTAGCATTTTGCTCATAGAAGGTCTGGAGGAGCCAAGACTAAGTGACAATTCATTAGAGGGAGTATAGTAACTAAGAAATTTTGGAGTAAGTATATCCGAACACAACTCAGGCTTTGAGAATTCCTTGATATAACAAGAAGGATGAACTATGCTTGTTGTAGAAGAAGGAACCTGATGTTTAAGAGTTTCATCAGAATACCTTACATAGTCAAATTGCTTATTCAAGCTGCCACCAGTTTTGGATGCTAGAACTTCAGTAACATTTTGCATGGCCAAAACGTTGAAATTGTTTCTGGGCATAGAAATTTTCATCTCTTGCAATGGAAATGATGCAGAGGAAGAGAGATTGACAGTCGAAAAATCTTCCTCTAAGCCATTTGTGTCAGCCACATTGTACTGAAGTGGCATAGATGATAGCAGAGGCACTTCAGTTTGCTCCTCAAGTTCATTCTTCCCCACACAGTCATCAATGGTAGCATATCCAACCGGTGTCAAAAAACCACCATAGTATGCTGGAGAAACATTGTTATGGCTTTCTTCCTGCAGTGATGGAAACAAAGTATTGCCACTCATTATCTGTTCATGGAAGTTTTGATCTTTGATACCTGGCTGACTTGTTGAGCCTGAAAAAAAGAGTGACGCGATTGTGTCCATCGAAACATGATTATGATCTGTCATTGATAAGCCAGCATTCAGAATATCTTTCTCCATCTAACAGGAAGCTTAAAAATTGCAGAGTGCTTAAACACAACCAGCAGGAGCCTATTGATATAAAACTTGGTTCAGCAATACCTAATTCTCATCTCTAGTCTCATTACCAGAACCCATGTTATGCCAAGACTTGGATCATTTGTGCTTCTCGTTACATAATACTGGATATAGCCATTACTCTGCAACTCTTTCATAATAATCCTTCCATTTAGTGAGAGATTATGATTCAAGGTTTTAAATCATCCTGGCTTGTAGCTGCTTGATGACAACAAGTTAGGTTAACGCATTCCTCTGAAGATAAGTGGATCTACCAGAAAGAACCAATAATCTACTGTTAAGCTCTTCAATGCTCTATGACATAGAGCTGTAAGAACTCAAAGTTGTTAATACCAGACATAAAAATTAGTAAAAACATAGAATCTGAAAGATATTTGCATCAAGTCAAGCTATAACTCATCGTCATGGTATTAATGGATCTAGAACAATGCTCTGGTACAGATACAATATAAAAACAGCAAAGAGTTTTGGGCCAAACAAGGCATGCAAATCTGTGACTTGGAAAAACCTTAGCTAATGACAATACAAAATATACCAGCAAAAAAAATAAATATATAGATGTACCACAACATACCATTCTAGGATTCAAGGGACCAAAGTTACACCAAAACACAAAAAAGAAGGGAAACAAAAGAACAATTTTGTTTTGCATAAACAAGATGGCTCTAGGTTTTAATAGACTGTTTCTCAGAACCAATATCTATGTCAGCCCATTCAAAGACAGAATGGTATATGATGAGAATTAAAATGGTCCACCTTATCATTCAACACCTCCCACAGGCATAGGCATATATATCCTTCCAGTAAACAACATAACCCAACCGTGCCATGCATCACTGTTATTAGCCACTAGTTGGCAGCATATTCACATGAAAAATAGTGCCAGAGTTGGCCCAAGCAAATCTTGCTCTTGGAATCTGCAGATTGCTAAGGAAATCATAAGCCTCAACACAATTTTCCAAATCATGAAAGACTAGTGAAGGAATGGTAACTTTGGTTGACTGGTAAGCTAGTGATACAAAACGTTATCCTTTAAAGGACATGAGATGTTGAAGGAATCAACTACTTTAAGTAACAAGTGGTGCCTGTGACAACCATGTATATATATATATATATTGTTTTTCTTTCTGGGGAAAGGAAGCAAGGATGTACCGATAGTATTCTGTAAAAATTTGAAAAAAAAAAAAAAGAAGATGGCATTATGTAACTTTTTGCACATCTAAGCTCAACATATGGCTTCAATGCAGTAAAGAAGCAACAACAACATGGAGGCAGCACATATGATAATAGATAGGAAACAAACACAACACTCAAAGATATATGGCTGACTGAATATTTAAAGAGCTTGCAACAATTTTGTGAAGAAAATACTTCAACAGAAGGATTGAGAAAGCTATTGTGAAATAACAAATGAAAGAAAATGATCCAATTGGACATAACCCTTTTACGATAAATGCAGCACAAAGAACTAGTCCGCTAGGATATCAAAATTTTAAAGAAAATATTCATACATGATGATATTTAAGTCATTAATGAGAACTTCATGTGGATTCAAGATTTAACTCAAGGAACTGACCTCCCTTATGCATATGAAGTGCATTAGCCTGCTGCCTAATGGTATGGCACAACCAATTTCTTCGCAGATCCTGAGCAGAATAAGAGAAGCGGAAGACTAAATTAGATTGGCACATTTAATCCATTTAGATTCCATAAATACAAACCAAGGGAACCATTCTCTAACTAAAGAAGGAAAAGGGAGAAATCCAATAAAAAAAGTCTATAGGAGTGAATCATCTTACAAAGTAAAAGTAAACATGAATCAATCGATAGCTACTTCATTGGGACGATCGACACAACTCATATAAATAGAGACCAGGAGTTGGCTTTTCTTGTTTCAGAGTGTTCAGATAATTGTTTCACCATACACCTCGAAAAACCAAAGGGGACCGAAGCAGAAAAAGATTCACTGATGCATTAGGAAAAAGGCCAAAGGAAACACTGCACCAAGTTGTATTCTCTGTTTGATTGATCAACTAGGGTATTTCATAACAGTATATTTCCATAGGCAAGTACGAGACTTGGGCACGAGTTTTTACTTCGAATGACTGGTCTACTAAAATGAAATAAATCAAAAGGTCGATACTAGTAAACTTAAATCTTATTTTGCAAAGAACAAGCACTTTCCCGTAAAGCTTGAGACCAAACCAATCATACTCTCCTCACTTTTACAGCAGAATAGAAAGGGAAGTGCTACAACTTATTCTTCTTATGTAAAACTTGAGAAACCGTACAAAACCATCAGATGAATCACGGGCTCCCCCTTCTATTCACCCGGCCCACAAAATCTAACCAGAAGTTAAAGATGGGAGATTTAAAGAAACTCCTTTTGTAAGACAAAACATGCACAACAAAGCGATCCATAGCAGGGAAAGGCAACCATTTGAAGGTAAGTCCGAGCAGAGGTTAAAAGATGAGAGGTACGTAGCTCATCAATAATGGAGATGTTAGAAGAAAGGTATAGAGGAGGAGAGACAGCGGGAAGAAAGACGAAGCAGAAAAGAGGGGCCATGTGGGAGAAAATCCAAAGAGGTTGGGATTGAGGGAGGAGGTGTAAGCCTTACCTTTACTGCAGGCTTTTTAGGACCCATCCCCATTCTTCCCTCAACTCCTTTGTCTTCCCTTCCACCACTTCTCTCTGCAACAACCATCTCAGCCAAGGTGTCTCCGGAAGCAGCTCTGAGCAAATGCTGTGAGTAAGAGTACCACTCCTTTGGCTCAAGGAAGAAATGCTGAGCATGAAAAAGGAAAAAAAATTGGAAGGTGAATCCAACCAGTGTTTACAGCTTCAGAAGATCATATTCGTGAAAGGATATAACACTGTGATGTCGCCCAATCTAGTGGGCACATAGCCGACATCGATTAAATATGAACTCTAGTCTTAGGCATTGAGGCCCCACATTACGATCATACAGGTGCTGTATTATTAGTTTCAGGTGGTGCCTATAGTCACTGAGATTTTGTATGATCTTTACTTTTCGATTTACATATATATTCGATATTGCAATAAATTGATCAAGCAGTGAATTTTTAGTGTTATGTTCTATAAATTAAATACCAGTAGGCAAACCGAGACAAGCCAGGGATCATGCCATCTCCAAGTGAAATGCCATGCTACAGCTCGAGTTAGGAACATGTTGCTATCTTTTGGAGGAAAAGCATGTCATAACATGGATGAGTGTTGGTCACAGTGATGAGGAAAACTAGAGAGGCAGGGAAGCTAAGTTGCAGGGTATGTTGGGTTAAGCAATGACTTGAGTTGAGATCAATCAGCATTCGGTCCAAAATAAAGCATAATTCTACAAGTTGAGAGATCGATATAGTTCAGCTTGTATACGGACGTAGAACATCAAACTACAACATGGCGTACAGCAATTTCATCAAACACATAAAGTGCATTGTGATGGTTCATGGAGTTCTAGTAGGTGAAAGTTTCTAACCTTAAACGAAAAGTAGACATTCTGTCATGCAAAAATGTAGTAAATTGAATTCATGTTCAGTGTCTCGATCAAATCAAACATATTGCATTTCCACCGAAAGAAAGTAGAGGACAAGAAATACGTATCAGTCGTCCAATCAAGACAGTTTTCTTCATGTTGAATCGAATCACCAGTCTTCTCCTCGAGAGTACTCAGATGCGTCAACTGCCAAATCTTGCTCTGTTTCCTTGTCTCACTGCATACTGTTTCTTTCTGTTCTCCTGATCCTCTTCTTGGAACTGGTTTTGGTGGTGTTGCGTGTCTTCTTCCCCGCCTTTTTATGCAGAGTGCCGCCAGATTACTGCCTGTGGGCGCATGGAAGCCATGTCCAGCCAAGTACCTGATGTGTGATCCATCACGCGTCAATCGTCGTGGCCGCATCCGATTTAGGTAGAGTCACATCTATTGCATTAGGGAAATGATGGACATGATTGTTGTGAAGTGATGAGCAAAGAACCAAGAACATATCCTTCACATCAGAGCACAAATCACACTGTGAGATTCCCCATCTGCTTCAGCTTTTCTGACCTTTGCAGGGAAGACTCGAAGAGGTCACGGGAGAGGAACATACGGAACTACAGGGGACTCTGTTACTGCATCAGGAACATACGGAACTACAGATCCTGCATCAAAATGCGCGTCATCCCCAGGAGTCCGGTCCCAACTTATGAAAGCTGAAAGATCGAATGGCAGAATCTTTATATGATTTGTTGATCATCTGAGATGTACAGTATATTCGTCAGGGGTTCTATTGCGAGTTGCAATTACGATTGCCCAGAGATGGAAGTCAAGCTGCATCCGGATAATTGAATCTGATCAAGAACACCACGTCTTGAACATGATCATCGGTAGATCATCATCAGCCGAGGATGAGCCTCGTCAAATGCCTCGGCGACCCCCACGCACGCATGCATGGCGCGTGTACACTCCTCCTTCGCCTGTTCCCGCAACCGCCGACGCCGGAAGTGGATTCGCCGCTCTATAAACACCGGTCTGCGGTCCTCCTCCACGCATCGTTGCATCTGAGTGTGATTCGATAGCCAGATCGAGGAAGCAACCGAGGGGAAATGGATCAGCTGGGGCAAGCCGCAGGCCAAGCTCAGGTGAGAGCACAGACATGCAAGGCCTCTGTGCGTGAAAGTTAAAGACCACCGTCATTCGCAGACTGCAGTTGGTTCTACTCTTCCTCTTTTGGTGTGCAGCCGAAGAAGGATGAGACGATGATCGAAGCATCTGTTCTATTCATTTTGCAGTCGTTTATCCATCTGTGAATTCTCTCTACACTTTGCCTTGAGGAATCGAGTGCAGACCGGGGGATCAAATGAGGAACATGGCACAAGGGGCTGCCGGTGCGATGAATAAACATCTGGATTTCTAAACCACATATATATATGTATGTATTGAGCATAACATATGAAACAAGTTTGTCTCCTCAGATCAACTGACACAAAACGGAACAAGAATGGGAAACACTATGATCAAGTTTAAGAATGTTCAAAGTGTAAGATGTTTTGGACTGAAAATATACCTTGTGAAGTTGCTTTATCAAATATATATGAACATGAAGGGCATGTGAATACCCTGACCTAATGGTACCAAAAACACACCGTTGACTATAATGTCTCTTCAACTATGGAAGCATATTTATTGGTAAAATCCATCAGAATTTGGATTCATGTCTCGAAATCAACATATGGTGGTCTTTCTTTCTGTATGGAAGAACTCTGGAAAGTAGTGCTCCTTCAGGAGGTGGAGTCAGGTGATCCGTATCCCCAAGGGTTCTTTTTCGCCCAGTTCCATTGATCCCGACACATTTCCTCGATGCCGTACTTTGCCCTGCATTGGCACATTCATTGTTGAATTAAAATACTGGTGGCTAAGATGTAAAGAAATAAAATCTTATCTACAGCAACTCAGGCAATTACGTACTTCCACTTTAGCTCCTTCTCTGCTTTTCTGGTAGATGCATATAAAATTTCAGCATCACCAGGTCGTCTTCCAGCTTTAACCACGGGAATTTTCTGAGAGGATCTCAATGTCAAAAGTTGCAGAAGAAGAAATATAGCAAATAGCAGGTTAAGTAGAGCAGCTTATATCATCTCCTGGAATCATCCCTAAGCTTAAAAGGTAAACTGTTGGTAGTAAATTACGAGGCGTGGGTTGATGAATACCTTTCCGGAAGTCTTCTCAAATGCTGCCACCATTTCCAAGACAGATGTTCCCTTCCCAGTTCCTAGATTATAGACTTCACAACCTGCTCATAGGAAAACACTTCATAACAACATAGATAGCATGGTCTTAACTAGTTACAATTGATGGTTTGGCAAATATCCCAAGAAGACCTACAGATGCATTTAGTGTTGTTGTTAAGTGTTCATTTGTCAACTTTAACTCCATGCTGATGATACAATTGGCTTGTTCACATTTTTCAATCCAATTTGATTAAAATATTCAGGTGAAAATGTAAAAAAAAAAAGGTTACAAAGGATCCATCACCATGCAATACATATAATTTATAGTAATCAGCAAATGCTAATTTGCCCATTCATGAGACCATGCTCATGAGAATAGAAAGATACTCTAGTTAAATTGCAAGGGAACATTTTGTGCAACCTTTGCTTTTCTCCTAAAATGTTGCACTTTTTTTTTGTTTGGTTAATATACATGACAAAGTTCTAATATATAAATTATAGAGCAAAAAGTATGAAAGAAAATGAGCAAGATGAGTGTAATGTGAAATTTTGCATACGCACCAAGATTGGAGGACTTGAAGAGCTTCTGCAGGGCTGCAATATGTCCATCTGCTAGATCAACCACATGAATATAATCCCTTACCTGAGATAATCATTTAACGTTGATAAGAATAGAAATCACGAAAACAAACATTAAAGCCCAAAGAATTATGCCCCATTGATCCTAATCAAAGTGCTTTCAAGATCAGTCATGCAAGCAAAATGTTCATTTTACAGAATACTAATTTTCAAATAAACAGCATTGTTAACCCAGAAAACTAGTAAAAATTAGGTTCCAACACTGTATGCTTCGCTAAACTATTTAAGACACTAAAAAAAATCAGAGAAAAACAAGAAATTCATAATCTAAAATGTATCCCTCAACGCAATTTGACAAAGAAATTCCAGTAAAGAACTTAAGAAGATGCTATGGGCACCAATTTTTTTTCCGACTAAAGAAACTTAATTTGTTTAAAGCCTCATGTTCCTGGTTGTGATTTTGTTGAAACAGCGTCCACTTACAGCACAAGCTAGTTAGTATTTCTAGTGCTTAGTACATGTACATACATACATAGATATAATTAGTGTACATAAATCAGAAGGTTGAGTACCAGATATCCAACCACATCTACTATCTGACAAATGCAACATGCGAAACTCTTTTCATAAGCAGATAAATAATGTTTCGATAATAGAATCAATGACAGACATGAAGATGAGCTGTAGAGAATTGGCAAAGGATAAAACCACTTATATGAAATCATGTCAATAAACTTAATCAAAGTCATATAAATGGGCTAAATCAATCACAACTTGGAGCAAAATAGAGAAAAGACAATACTCCTGTGCCGTCTTTGGTTGAATAATCATTTCCAAATACTGTAAGAGCAGGTCTCCTCCCAACAGCTACTTGTTGTACAAAAGGCATTAGATTATTGGGGAATCCACGAGGATCTTCACCAATATTTCCACTAGGATGAGCTCCAATGGGATTGAAGTATCTCAGTAATATTATGTTCCAATCCTTATCTGCGCGATGGATATCACGACAAATGTCTTCGATCATAAGCTGCACTCATTATTTAAAATTATTAGCCTTGAAAAAATTGGTACCCAAATTAGCCACGGTAGGAACAGATGAAGAAACCTTAGTTCGTCCATACGGGTTCATAGCGCATAAAGGGGATTCTTCTGTACAGGGAACTTTTTTTGGCCATCCATAAACAGTAGCTGATGATGAAAATACAAGCTGCAAAAAAATTAATGTTAGTGACCAAATGCTTTTATGATTAAATGGGCTAAAAATTTACGTAAGAAAAAAATTATCAGAATCATTCGGGCAAAACAGATTAGTATCCTCACTAAAAATCGCTAAGTTAGAAGGCCAATGGCAACTTTTTACAATAATATATCTGTGAGCCAAAGGTAGGATGATGCTTGAAATAAGAAAACTTTGAAGAACACAACCACCAGTCATATGAGCGCATGGCCAAATTTAGTTGCAAGGAAAGTGAAAACAAGAAGAATGATTTGGAATAGTTGATGATAGAGCATAACTTAACAAGAGATGAAGGAAAAAAGTGACAAGTAATCTATGACAAAATAAGCCCTTGTTTCTCAACTTCTTAAAAGAAGCTTCTATTGGACTACTTGCAGCAAAAAAATCCTAAGAAATTAACCACCGAAGTTATATACCGAGTGATACACAAACTGATTTGCCAGGCAAAATGTACTTCTGGGATGTGCAGTAAAAGTCATACAGAGTACAATTATTTATCTTAATTAACTTGGTTGTGATGTCTATTCAACAAAAAAATAACTTTGTGCATATCATCACAAGAACTTCATATTCAAAGATTTTTATGGATTTCTAATGTCCCTTTTACTGTAAAGTCTTGGGCCACAAACATAGTGTGAGAATACCTTTTTGCATCCGTGCCGAACCATTGCTTCCAAAAGCGCGATGGTGCCAATAATGTTATTATTGTAGTACAGCAAAGGTTTCTGAACACTTTCACCCACAGCCTTAAGCCCAGCAAAGTGAACAACAGCATCGAACCTGCAAAGCAAATTACGAGCATAGGTGAATATCTTAACACAATAATTCATATTACAAAAAAAAATTACCAATGTCAAAAATAACAAAGTATGGTTATTTATGATGAAGATTGTAAGAAGTTGTGTCCTGATATAAATTTTGGCACTCCTCTACAGTGAAAATGAAAGAAAAGCTGAGGTGTAGTTTTCCTTTTCTACACTGACAAGAGTATGCATAGAAATCTGTTCTTTACAAATTCTTTACACGGATATGTAACATCCAGCACTAAAATTAATACAACAGTAATATGTGACCCCCATCAAACAGAACTAAAATTAAATGCGACAGCTTACAAATGAAGCTTGAATTCCTACTATTTTGTTGGATGAGTGTCATCGTACTATTTCTCGAAACTACATCATTTTCCTCCCCATTCAGTCATGTCCTCAAAACAATAAAGAAAAGAAAACTGCAAAGAAAACCACCGTCCAAAAACTAGTTAAGCAGCCTCTATACAGGTCTACAGACGCCTCGCCACATGCAGGTTTAAGGTTGCACAATAAACCCAGCGGAGGAGGCAATCTTGTGCATTGAGCTGCCCTTGCGTCTACGCAACATTTAGTAGTATGGTGTAGCACATCTGATTTGATGTGCTATCATGGGAGCTCAGAAACAAAGATTTTTTCATCAAAAGATGGTGATTTGAATTTTGAAGGAAAATTGACATAAATTTTTTAAGACAATAATTGAAGGTCACAAGCTAACTATGTTCATTTAGAAAACCTTACTTTGTTGAAGCAAAAAGTTTATCCAATGCATCCTTGTCTCGAAGATCAATCTGCAGAGGCATGGAATTTCTTAAGAAACTAAACTCACATGATATGTCTTGCAATATGTTATTCAATATTTGCTCCAACTAGACAGGAAAAAAGAACATGGTATAAAGAAAATTTAATTGTCAATATCTGCAAAATAATCAGACAACACATATTCGTATTGAAGCATTATTTTCATAAATTTTCCAAGGCTACTCAAGAATCAACACAAGCCAACTATACGTTTAGCTTTAAATTAGGCAGGGAATAAGGACTATATTCTCTATATAGATGTACCAGGTAACAGAAGATATCAGGTCAGTTTGTTTATACAAGGAAAATGCCACCATGCAGAAACAACTATAGGAATGCACATAAATGTCAGTCAATTCTACATATATGTGCAAAACAAGAAAATATGGAAACTTGATATGAAGTTATCAAGAAATACAAACCATACAGAGAAGACTTTAAACAGCCTCCATGAAACATTCCAAAGTTAGAAGTAAAAATGGTGATGGAGCACCAATATTTTCAAGTCAAATCAGAAGTCTTTATTGTGGATGCACCCAGATTGCTTGTTGAAGAAATAATAAAAATAATAACTAGCAAAAATAATCCAGGCTTCATCTGGTCATAGAAGAAAGAGACTGGTGGTCCAAATGCATCATATATCTAGAATTAGTGATGCATAGTACATCAACCACAATTTGATTAGCAAGAATGGGCAATGAGAATAAGGTTAGTGGTATGAGCATAACAGTTCCTAACCATTAAAGAGCTTCCATGAACCATTCCAAAGTTAGAATCAGAAATGTTGGTGGAGCACCAATATTTTCGAGTTAAATCAGAAGTCCTTATTGTGGATGCACCTTAGGTTGCTTATTGAAGAAATATAAAATAATAATAATAATTAGCAAAAATAATCCAGGTTTGATCTGGTCATAGAAGAAAGAGACTGGTGGTCCAAATCCATCATATATTTAGAATTAGTGATGCATAGTACATCAACCACTATAACGTATAAGCAAACTTGCTATGCGGTCATAGGAGATGCACAACTTGATTAGCAAGAATGGGCAATGACAATAAGGTAAGTGGTATGGGCATAGCAGTTCCTAACCATTAAAGTTGAAGAACTGCAACCAGAGGCCACAAAAATCATCCTAATAATTAAAGTTGAAGAAAACCGAAGCCATCAATCCAATAGGGTAAGCGGAATAATAGACAAACGTAACCCACCAATTGGTTAACCCTTAGAAAGAATTAATCTGAATCCATAGTTCGTAACAGAAGCACGAATGTTCCGAGCACTCCACGCTTGAAACGACAGAGGACCAAATACGAAACAACTTCAATCGAGAAGACACGTACAAAAATCCAATCTTGCACAACCAGGTCCACAAATCTCGAAGAACTCATCCATCCAATCGAGAAAACCTAAACTTCAGCGCCGAATGTTCATGGACGGAACAAGAGAACAAGGATGGTACCCGATGGAAGGTCAAGTTCTTGCCGTACTTGCCCGCGAGCGCAGTCACACGCTCGACAGCGACCTCGGAGGAGTTATCGAGGTTGTCCACCACGACGACCCCGAACCCGGCAAGGAGAAGCTGCAGCACGGTGTGGCTGCCGATGTAGCCGGCGCCACCCGTGACCAGGATTCTCCTCGCCATGCCCGATGTCCCAAGGAGCGACACAGATCGAAAACCGCGGGGTGCGGAAGAAAAGTAAAGGAAGGGTTTTAAGGCCCCAAAAGGAGAAAGTCGATAAAAAGAAACGGCGTGGAAGGGAGGAGGAGGGCGACGGAAGCGGAGGGGAACGAGCGGACGCGATTCCGAGGGGAGGAAGAAGCGGGTATATATACGCTCGGGTTACACTCGATGGCCACGTCCCATCAGGAAGAAGCGATGCGCCTTACTCATTATTCTCTCTCCAAACGACTTGACTCGACTCATCTACCATCACTTGGGTTCACGGATTCACTTTCGGTAGGTCAATTCGAGTCCAAATAATACATATGTCGACTCGAGTTGGACTCGACGTATAATATAACCGATCCATTTTGGGGGCGGATGGATAGGAACGCGGAGTGTCTCCGTAGTTTTGGGGCTTCGGATCTCGATCTACGTGTAGTGGTTAGGAAAATAACCGATCCATCAAGGCCACGACGTTAATTTCGAGTATATTTTAGCTTGATGCAATCGTCGCTATAAGGGGGTCAGTCATTTGCTTACCAAGTGAAGTGTTGCGGCACCCAATTGGCTCTTCAATCGAGCATCATCACATGCATCACTTGCATACCTTCGGTTAACTTGTAATCTCGCATCGAAATCAATCATGCTCGTGCATGCATGGAGCATCGATCTAAAAGAGCCACCGCATCCGTAGGAATGCACGTGACCGAACTTAAAGAAAAGGAAGGAGTACGTTGTGATATCTGTCGTCTTTCTCATCAAGCATACCAAAAGGAACGACTAATAATAATTGATAAGGTGATGAGTCTTGTGACGAATTCTTCTGCTGACTTGTTTATTTCCTTCGCTTTTTGCCGTCTTAATTAAAGCTTGTAGGTGTCGGTGAGACGTCCAGAACAAACCGTTAGATTTCACATCCATGCATTGAACTCGGTGCGAGCGGTAATAGTTATAGCTCGGCTTCTCAACTGCACCGGGCTCCAAGGGGCATCCGCACCGCCCATCAGATCCTTGTGCGAATCACGAGGTGGAGGCCTTTTAAGTTATATAGCCAATTAAAGAAAACAGGATACACCGACACAGGATGATCCATCGGGGCCCACATGTGCGGCCGATCGACCGCCCGAAGCTACCCTCTCGCGTGGCTTCTCGGTGATGCGAGAGCCCGAAAGCCCAGATCTGTTCGTGGGCCGATCTAGAATCGAGGCGAAGTGGTTGACCCAACCCATCAAGGAAACATTCGTTTGACTTGAATCCGACCCGATCCATAACGGTGACCCAAACTGACGTTGCTTGAGACCGCATTTGAATTCGAGGAACCCACCATCCGGCCCGCCGAAATCGTCGAAATGGGGCCCCGTTCCTCATCGGTGGGTCCGGACCATCAGCCGCCATCCACTTCCGCTTCACCGCCTCCAATCTCGCGCCCGGTGTACGCACCGCCCTCGTTTTCCACCAACCGCCATTGAAATCCAAGCGGCGTCCGTTTCCACGCCCTTCTATTGATTTAAATTTCAAAAGGCCCCGTCCCCTTCGGCTCCACAGTCTGCGAACAAAACGCCTCGGCCGCTCCTCTCGTGTAAGACCACTTCGAGCCCCTCCTTACCACAATCGAACAACGCATCTAATGGCGCCCGGCGAGCGTGCCCTCCGCCATCCGATGGGCCACGCCCCTCCTTGGCCTGTAACCGAGCACCCGATGGCCGAGATGCAGCAGAACGACACCCTCCCCGTCAGCGACGTCGTCGGCCTCTCCGCGATGCAGCACTTCCTCCTCGGCAGCAGCGCCGACCTGGACCTCGCGGCCGACGAATACGCCTGCGACGAGTTCCGGATGTACGAGTTTAAGGTGCGGCGGTGCCCCCGCGGGCGGGTGCACGACTGGACCGAGTGCCCCTACGCCCACTCGGGAGAGAAAGCGCGACGGCGCGATCCCCGCCGGTTCCAGTACTCCGGCTCCCCATGCCCGGACTTCCGCCGGGGCGGGGGTTGCCGCCTCGGCGACGCCTGCGATCTCGCCCATGGCGTGTTCGAGACATGGCTCCACCCGGCACGCTACCGGACCCAGCCCTGCAAAGACGGCACCGCATGCAGCCGACGCGTGTGCTTTTTCGCTCACACCCCCGAGCAGCTCCGCATCGTCCTGCCCCCGAGCCCGACGTCGTCTGGCAAGATCGGCGTGAACATGTTCTCCTCGCCCACGTCGACGCTGGCGCTCCTGTCGTCGCCGTCAGACGGCTCGCCGCCGTTGTCCCCGGTAGACGATGTATTGGCGGCGATGAGGAACCTGCAGCTTGGGAAGGTTAGGTCGGCGTTGCCGTTCGGTACGCGGAGCGGGTTCGCATCCCCGGCGTCCCTCGAGAGCGATCCAGCGACACGGGGTAGGAGGGCAGCGGCGGCCGTGGCGGACCAGTCTGCGCCCAGACTTCTCGAGGACTGGGGGAGGCAGGAGGAGGCTGCGGAGCCGGCGCCGGATCTGGCATGGGTTTCGGAATTGGTGAAAGATTAAAGGAGTGATCTTTGACATTTTTGTCAATATTTGTTCATAAATAAAATGGAAAAAAGATTGGGAATAATTTTTGTAGTGGAAAGGGGAAAAAAAAGAGGATTTTTCTGGTGGTGAAGACAATAGCTGGAAAAAAAAGAGGAGCATTTTTTTCTTTTTCTTTCCTGTGAGGAAGTGAAGAGAAGATTCTCAATGTCTGCTTTTGTTTATTTTTATTCTGACCTTTTTTTATATGTATATAAAACTCCTGCAACTTTTTGCTTTGGATCTTAATGTAATCACTGTCAAATAAAGTTTGCGTTGCTGTCATTATCTCGAGAGATGGGGGATCAGATATGATCGAAGACAAAACCATAACCCTGTTATTGATACAGGTGGTGAACATGATGTGGAGTTGTCAGCTTGAAAGAAGATAAAAGAGAATGAAGAAAAAGGTGTGCTGGTATTTGGCAAGTCAGATCTCTAGAAACCTTGTCCCTCTCCGACAAGAACCTTGTGGTATCAAATCCTTTTCCTCCATTACTTTTGTTGCATCAATGACTTGAAACATACATGTTGCAAGAATCCAAAGAACCGGCAATTGTGGTTTCTGCAGGTTGCTGCTGATTCATCGCAGTCTTCAGCAAAAAGATCAGCATAGAGAGAGAGGGAGAAGTTGACAGCTCGGGACCAAGGATGTCATTTCCTGGACTCTTTCCATGGAACTTGGTAGCCGAATATGGTTTCCGATGCCAGTAATGACTAGAAACTGTGTGTTTGGTGATTCCATGGAACTTGAGATTAGGTTGGAAGGGTTGTTTGAAGCACCACAAGCTTCCATTTCTTCTTGACTTGTCCCCATGGAACAATTGAACTACGGTTGGAGAGATAGAATCCAACTTCGTCACTTTGTCAACTTTTTTGAAGCGAAATCACTTCACCCACCAGTCCAGCTGGTCAACCAGAAACCAGGTAGCAAAGAAACAAAAGGTGCATTCGCTTCGCAGTCCAGATTGGGATTAGCTTCGATGTGAATGTCCAGAGTGCAGTTGAATGAGGTTGGATCAAATCTTACAGCTTATATACCACCAGAGTGAAGAAGATAAATCTATTTGGAAGGTAAAAAGGACAGCATAAGATTTAGCGTTGGAATGATGACTTGTTGGAAAGAAGAAGAACAACAAGCACGACGTGCCGTGCAGTGCGCGGCAAAGCATCCAAGGAATTGCGTTGAGAAAGCACGACGGGTCTGTTTCTGAAACCATGGAAGACTTCGCCTCTCGTTTGGCTTCTTTTTAAGGTGGCATTCATTAAACGGGAAGGAAGGAGCTTAAGGCTTCTTTGCGAGATTATTCCTCTCCAATTATAGACACGACGTATCTTAGTCGATAAAAAATTCTAATCGATGCTCCTATTAAATCAACGAAATTCGAATAAAAATATTTTTAAATATAAATATTTTTTATTATATAAATTATCCTTTCAATTAGAAATCAGCAACTTAGTCAACAAAAAATAAAAAAATCTATTTATAAAAGTTAAAACTAGCACGATAATCATTGATATTTCTTTTCACTTTTTAACTCATATTAGGCTAACTTACTCGTCAAAGGGATCGCATCGGAAACCCTATTCCCTTATACGTATAAGTTTAGGTTTGATGATCCATCAATTTGATATCACCTCTCTGATGAACAATTTTGATGAAGGATAAAGTTGTTGCTATAAAACCAAGCAAGTGTAAAACCAAAAAGAGCTAATCAACATAAATAAGAGTGATAAAAATACATATTATCTTTGAATAAAACCTTGATACTCTTATCCGTTACTGCATGTTATCCAAATCTGAATCATACTCAGATTGAGATTTAGGTCGATGTGATGCTTAGTAGGAGCAGGTCGACTTGGGCTTTGAAGCTTGATTGATGACTTGATTTGGAGTTTGTTCGAGACTCCGATTGAATGAGATCAACTCAAATCATGACTCCCCAGTTAGATGATGCAATCTTTGATGAATCTTTTTTTCAGACAATTTTTCTTTCCATATGTAGGTTAGAGATTTCACCTTAGTCAATTAATGTGGTTGATATTATTATTACAATCATCCTCATATATTATTATTATTATTATGAGGACAACAGTAATATCCGAAAGGTGACATCCTATTCGTCACGTAGCATCACATTGTCGATCTTATAATGATAAGATATCGATCATGATGCTAAGATATTTAGACTTGTAGGATTCATAGCATTCATAACAAGCAGCATGATGAGCAAAATGAATGACCGGAGAAACGCACGAAATAACCACATGTATAAACTAGTTGACATGCACAGGAAGCTGTATTGTACTGCGTGAGTAGCAAAGGGGAGCACGTAGCAGCCCTCGGTCTGCCATGTCTTAACTAAGCATGAAACAAAACCACTGTGTGGGTGTCACGGTGATCACCAACGTGAGACATGCCCAACCATGCACCGGAAGACTCTATGTAATTATTTCAGGTTAAGTCAACTGCTGCTTCTTTCTCATTTGAACTGGTCAGTTCATGTTTGTATTACCAATGAGCTAAAAGGTTGACCTGATGGATTCAACCTCTCGTCGATCGATGAGCTGCAGGAATTTTTTTCCTTCATGAGTGGATGATCGCAAATGAATCGAGCTATTCACCAGCAGTTGGCCGTTTGACTTGATAAAAGGCTGATGGAGATTAATGAACCAAAGTTGATCATGAACTCTTAACTATGATACTGGACGGTTCAAAATTTTAACATTTGGATTAATATATATCATGTCAGATATGATGAGGGTAATAATTATGATAAGACTCATGTGACATCAGCTGTACCAGGTGACGTATCACGCCTTTGTCGACTTGATGAGGCACCCGGTCAACGTGGATCGGAACGCCTATCAAGGCACATTAACACCCTGCTCAGGCTCGATCCCCCACGTCACGTCAACGGCAATGTCAAACGCTACCAGAAGTACGATCCTATTCCCTGCGGGCAGGCACATCATTTAAAGATTTATTTATGAAGTTTCATTTGAAGATTTATTTATTTATTATTCATAAACTAAATATGAGTCCATTAATTCATCATAATACAATAAACTTATATCTTTAGTTTTTTCTATTGTAATAGAAATCATATTAAAATTTGAAGATAAATTTTAAAAAATATTTTTTTATAGTTTAATCTTTTAGGATTTCACTATACGATCGGTTCACAAAAGAAAAGACTTTTGAAAAAAAAATCATTATAAAAGTTTCAAATCAAATTCGAAGAATTTGAAACTTTAAAGTTTTTACATTATTTGTGCCTCCAAACATATTTTTTAATATTTTTTAGACTTTATTTTTTTAATGTTGATGTCATCATGACTCGAAAAAATATGGACTTATCTATTATTTATTGTAGCACGTAAAGGGCTATTGTATCTTTATGTATATTTTCATTTATTTGATCTTTTGAATCTTCAATAATATTAGGATCTTGTTAATCATACTCAAGAAAATTATTTTCTATCAAATTTCATAATTTTTATGAAATAAATAATTTTTTTATTTAAAAGATCCAAAATTGATAATTTTCACCAAGTTGATTAGAAATATTTTATCGACTGTTTGTCAATTTTTTTTTATATATTGGTCTTTTCTTTTTTTGTTTTTTAATCGATATACTCCTATTGGTCTTTTTAAAACCAAAATCTCGTATTTGTTGGCTTTTTAGGAAGAAGTAAAAGAGAATAGTTGAAAGAAAGAAGATTACTTGCATTATGCAATATTTTTTATTTATCTAAAAACATCTATTTATATTAGTCAAAAGATAAAAAATATATTTTTTTTAAATAATACAAAAATATTATATCCTAATAATTTTTTTTTATCTTTATTTATTTACTTTAATCTAAACTTTATTTTTTTATTCTTAATTATTTGTTGTGTTGACAGAAAGAGAGAGAGAGAGAGAGAGAGAGAGACGAACCTAGTTGGTGCT